ATAAGTTACATATATATTGGGAGCATTGCCAAAATTTGAAATGCTTTTGAATCAGTAAAAGAAATTTGAGTGCCTTATCATTTTGATGTCAGATGTTAATCATAAGTGTTCTTAAGCTTCTCGATCCCTGGAGAACTACTACAGTCCAGTATTCTGCTGGCCTTCCATTCTAGAAATCTATGAATTCATGATTTAGAACTACAACTTTAATTGAAAACAAAGACAGTTGGGATTGTGTCTTTGGCACAGCATAATGGAAACCCTGTGGTGCGATTGGCCTTATATTCTCTCCTGTGCTTCTAGTCTGGTTCTCTTTCCCCGGGGGTAGGACTTATAAAAAAGTAGGGCTCGCCTGTTGAATTCTGTCACATTTGATCAAAGTGAATGATGACAAGCTAGCCCCATATTTTGCAGTCTGAGAGGAACTATTTATGAATTGAGAAAACCCTCATATTAATATATAAGCTCTATTTTCTTTTTTTACTTTTTCTATCAGGATAATGAACTGATTTAGAAAATGGGCTTATTTTAAGCAGTCCCACATAAATTTAAAACAGCTAATATATAAATTTTTGCCTTTAGATAAGTCCATACATAAGGCGCTAAGAATTGTTGGCTAGAGAAATTGATTTTTAAGATTGCAGAATTATTTTAGTCTCTCCATACCAGTTTCCTGTATCTGTTTACACACACACACTCTTCCTAGAAAGAGGAAGACTTTCAGAGCCGGTCCCTGAATCACATGGACAGTTTTCTAAACTGAAGAGTAGGCTGTGGAAGCGTTTCATAGTTACTGTAGTGCGGCGTGGCACTGGAGTCTAATACTGCTGAATGGGTCTTTGAATGTAAGTGGAGGAAAGCTGCTAGCTAAAGGAGGATTCTTTCAACTTGCATTTTCCCCACATACAGTACCTAACTGTCTGGACAGTCATGTCTCTGGGAAATGAGACGTGAATTGTGATGTGTTAACCTTTCCCAGCAGCGTGCCAGGAAGTTATTTGTATGGTAGTTGAGGGTGGGGGAGAGTAAGGGGTAGGTAGAGTGGGAGGGAATATTTGTCTAGAAATAAATATCAGCTTTTGGATTGTTCTGGGTGCAAAGCTGCATGTGAATGTGTTTTAAACTACCTGAAACTGTGTTACTGATTTTATAGAAATGCAAGTTTTTCAAAATGGAAGTTAGTGGCCATGAACCTTTTCTTTCACTGCATGTTTTTTTTCCCTCTGCCCCTAATAATGAACCTACACTCACTTGTTGTTCAAGTAGATCGGAAATGATTGAACATTGGAAATGTATGCAGTTGAATCTTACATCTAGAAAATAGGGTATTTTGGAGGGTGGGGAGTACAAAAATCTAAATAAAGAGGAACGGACATGAAACCCATTTCTGAGAAAGTAATGTTTATTGTATTAATGACTTGAAATGCAAGTCATTCCTCTGATGTAAGAATCTCATTACATGTTTAGTATCTTGACTGGCACTCCTAATCAAATTAAGATTTAATCCATGTAGATTCCAGACAACCTCACCCCCTTCCATCATATGCTTTGCCTTTGTTCTGCCACATGCAACCGCGTGTCATCGTTTCAGTGAGAAGTTACCCAAAGAAAGTGAAATCACCGCCAGAAATTCTGGAAATAGTTTTCCTTAAACGGAAAGCATAGGGTTTTTCAAATCCAGGTTTCCTCTGTTCATAACTGTTAATGACATCCTAAGAAATTGGTTCTTCTGTTTCTTCCTATATAAGCAGCTTACGTGTTTTTAGATAATTTTATTCCTCTTCTTTTACTTCTTCAAGTAACATAGGGGGCACTACTTAAAAAGGAAAAACCAGTTCACTGTCATGGACTTGATGCACGCCCACAGTGACTCTGGGACAGGGCAGAGCCGCCCCGCCCCGGAGTTCTGAGGCGAACTGCTTAGGGGAGGAGAAGGGGCCGCTGGTGGCTTCACCCTGCAGCCCACGAGTAACCCCTGAGCTGCCACAGTGCCAGCAGCCATGAAATGGGAAGGTATTGAAATCCCTTTGGAGACATTACTTTAACCCCTTCAACGCTGTATTAGTCTGGGTACATTAGAGAAGCAAATCCACAGAAACTCATGTATAAGAGAGAGTGTTTTATATAAAGGTTAAGTGAGCATCAAGGAAATATCCCAACCCAGTGCTGCCTAAGCCCACAAGTCCAACATTAACCCATATGCCTAATACCAGTCCACAAAGTCCTCCTCCATCTCACAAAACACACGCAGGATGCTGACTGCAGGAGGAAAGTCAAGTCAGTGAGCATGTAAGCAGCTCAGCACTGGCAGGGGTCTCCACTCAGCTGCTCCAGCACCAGGGCTGCATCGGGGTAGGTCCATGTGGTTTCTCCTTGGGGATGTCTTGTAGGAAGTCAGTCTTGCCAGCTGAAGCAGGGACCTGGCTAAAGCAGCTGCACTCTGGTGCGACCACCACAAACCAAGAGACCCGAGAACTAGAAAGGCGAGGCTCACCGAGTCATTTATCCCTCCACCCTTCAATTAACCCCACTTCTGTTTATTGGCCAGGTTGGCACAATAAACTAACTCCCTCAAACGCCCAAAGCCTCAGAAACCCACAGGCTTATTGTCAGAAGACTGGGAAGAATGCCCAAGACAAGATTCAGCAGCAGAATTTCCAGCCTCACCGCCATGAAGTCGATCCCACTCACGGCAAACCGACTGGACAGAGTAGCACTGCCCTGGCGAGTCTGGGAGACTGCAAATCGGGATGGGAGTCGAAAGGCCCGCCCTTCCATGGAGCAGCTGGTGGTTTTGAACACAGCTAACCCGCTACAGCACCAGCGCTCCAGAGGAAATACCAGCAAATGAGGTTGCTTGTTACGTTGTGGTTACAGTTCATGTGAAGGTGTCCCTTGAATAACTGAAAAAGAACTTGTTCCGCGGTCTCCTCTGCCCTCATCTGGTGACAAACGAGAATAGCATTTTCCCTTTGGAAGCACAGCTTCATAATTTCAGTAACTAAAAATTATTTGACGGATAATCTGCAGGACAGGAACAAGCAGAAAGAAGGGCTGGCATCAAGAAGAGAAAACAAATTTCTGTCAAGATTACAAGTTGAATTTCAGAAAAGCCAACTTGCTGAAAATATCCAAGAGAGAGGAATTAAGTAATAAAGATCACTTCTTGAGCTTTGTATTTCTCATTAAGTGAAATCAAGAAAAAGTTTTGGCTTCCACTGTCTCTGTCAAAAAGAAGGGGGAGATCTAGTATTTCATAAAACTTTTACGGGAGGTGGGGCAGGGGGAGGGGGGCCGAGGAGGGTGGGTAGAGCAGATATCCCATCTGCTCCCAGCTGTGAGCTGGCTGCTGAGTTGCTGTCTGTGTAGGTGAGACAGTACTGCGACGGGGTAACTAGGGGTCACTTTACGCACTTTGGTCAGTGCAGTGTTATTTGGAGACTGGAGCGTTTTCTTTCTTCCTGTGTGAGGATTGAAAGTCCTTTTTTGGAAAGTATTTAGTAATTTTCTCCTAGCGTTCCATCAGTCATTTTTACATTCAAACATTTTTCTGATTTTCACCCTAAGTCTAAAGACAGGGCCATTGCCCAAGGACAGAGGATTATTCTCTATCTTGGTAGCCTTTACAGATCTTCCTGTTGGATTGTGGACGTGCTTGGTGCCCATTATCCCTTCTCTCCGCCAACTTCTTCTGTTAGTAATGGAAAAACCTACCTGGTACCCGTTCCACCATTGCCCTTTGGAAATAGCTTGTAGCCTAGATTTCACAGATTCAGAGAAATGCTGTACACCTGACGGCCACCCATACAGAATTTTGAGGTGGTTCAAAAGATAAGATTTTTTTTTTTACTTGGAATAGATTTATGTCCCTTGAAATGATGTGATGAAGTGAAATGCATTTCACATGTGGCAGAGACATTAATTTAGGGGGACTGGAATGTTATAGATGGAATTGTATGTTCCCAAAAATATATGTTCCCAAAAATATGTATCATAAAAGCCTAATCTCTCTGCCTGTGTTTATAATCCCATCTGGGAGTGTTTTGCCTTTGTTACGTTAATGAGGCAGTTTGAGCTTGGGGTTTGGCTTGAGCCATCTCTTTTGAGATATAAAAGATTAAACAAGTAAGCAATTAAGCAGAGATGGGAGAAGAGAGAGGCTTCCCTCCACGCCACTATAGATGGATTGCCCCGGCTCAGTAAGCCTAAACTGAGAGAGTAAGTTTTTCCATGTTAAAGTCATCCACTTGTGGAATTTCACCATTGGGCTGGGTTGGGTTTGGGCTCTTCTTTTCAATGATCATTTCTTTCCTTTGATCTTCTTTGTAAACTTTTTGAATTGCATTGCAAAAGCACTGACTCTAGGAATGGTTCTTTTATTATAGAAGAGGTGGCAACGTTCTGTAATTCCTAAAATTGAATTTAAAATGCCTCAATAGCATTCCCTTAGGTCCAAACTGCGCCCATCCTGTGCTGATGACTGCCAGAGTACTCTTGGGAGAGCAGGCTCGTGAGAAATTAGGAACTAATTGTTCACTCTAGACTGTGAGTAGGTTATGAGGTTCCTTTAGTAAATAATAATCTTCCCTGGTGTGATACATATTGCCTTTTAAAAATATTTAGTAGGGACCTTACCAGGAATTCCCTGGCCAGAGGACATGAGAAAGTGACTACCTGGACTCTCACTGCCCCTGCGTCCCCCGGATGAGAGGAGAGGGGACTGCTGTGTGCATCAGGCTTTGGAAGGTCTTAGAATGAGGCTGAGAGGATTTCAGAGTTGCTCAGGGTAACAACTTCTTGAAATACCACCTACCACCCCACCCCACCCTTTAAAAATTGATTTAAAAAAAAAAAAATCAGGGCAAGAAACGAGCTGGAAGATAGTCAAATTAGGTTGTTTTAAAGTTCCAAGTGTCCACGTAGACTTTGTGTAAAGTTTATTGTATACATTAATTTTTTAAGAAATCATCTACATATGTTTTCCCCTTTCCCTTTTATAGAGTTTACAGATGCTTCCCCAGCAAAGGAAAGCCATAGCGAAGTTTAAGGAACCAGCCCACGCGTTAGCATTTCAGCAGAAATTCCACAGGTACCCATTTTCCTCTGGACCCCTGTGGTTAAGCTGTTTGGTGGGGCGGGGCACTGGTCTTCGTCTTGGTGAGCTTGTTGCTGTTGTGCACTGCCTTCATGCTGCCTTTCTCTCCATTCCCACAGGCACATGATAGACCTGTCCCACATCAGCGTGGCCCTCATTGTTGAGTGATTTCTGGTAGGCGGATCTGACCTTATGCTATACCAACACTGTGGAATTTCGCCAAGGAAGCTCCGGGAGCAGAGTTCTCAGACCTTGGACCTTTCCCATCACTGCCTGCCATAGCTCTTGTCTGGAGCTACAGGCACAACAGGATTGGCTCCAGAAGAGCTGGACTTACGGGACACAGCCTATTGGAGTATGGTGTTAGAGTTCTTCAAATTCTGTTGTAACCACAAAAAAAGTACCATTTTTTTCATTGTCTTTTGTTTTCAAAGTGCTTACTATGCATGTAGACATTGTTCTTCCAGATCTTACCGTATGATCGATCCCAGTGACTTAGATTCAGGAAAGAACATGGATGCTACAAATCCACAGTATTTTTCACAGCAAAGAACATTCGATAATGGTTGCACTGATCTTCATGCAGGCTAGAAAACAGTTTTCACAGCCAAGCTTCACTTGAGTTGTCTTCTCCAAAAGTCCTGGTAAAAATGTAGGTTAAAATGTGGGTGGTTATTGATTGACATTTACATATCCTGGAAAGTCAGGGTATGAGAGGGGTGGTTGGGAGTGGTGCCAATTGAAGTGGCAGATTCTGCTTCTTGTAACTATTCCAAAAGCGCCAACTGTACACTCTGAGTTCCAAGGAATGGGTACCCTTTGACCAGAATTCCCCAAAAGTCAAAAGGCTGGGTAGGCACATTGCGGCTCCCTCGGCCTTAGCAGGCACGCTCAGCCTTGTAGCCCTCTGACCGAGTTCCCTGTCTAGTAGCATTCCCCGTCACAGCGACAACGTGAGTTTGAGGGTCAGCCTGCGGGGTTACCAGAACCTATTTGCTTTGCTTTCCCGCCCTTAAAATACCGCCCTGGGGGCAGCTCTCGCTGTCGCTGGCTTTGTAACATGCTTTGGGAACCTGGTTGTCATTGTCTCAATTGTCCCTCTTTCTGTGACCCCCCTCCCGTCCCCCTTTGTTTTGAAGACGGTTTAAGCAGGGGGTGTCTGTCCATGGCCTAAAAGCAGCATGATTCTTACTCTGGCATATCCTTTTTTTGAAAACAGACAGGAGGTAACAGTTGCATGATAACAAAACCTGAAATAAAATGTACACTATGTCATCGATGAACTGGCTTGAGTCATTCCCGGTAGGTTCCTTTCGTTCTCTGTAAAGCAACCTTTAGAAAGATTCAATTTGGGGCAAGCACTGAAAAAAAAGTGCCTTACTCTATTTCTGCTCATGAAAGTTATGTCTCAGTTCGGGCTATATTTTGATGTGGACTTGAACTATCTGAGCAGATCATACATATTAGGGCATACTCACGCTTTTTAAGCTCTATTTTTTACTTAGGAGGCCATGTCAAATTTATTGACGTTTTCACTAGAATTAAGGAAAATTAGAAACCTGTTATTCAAAGCATCAAGCCAACCTAGTAGGGACCAGAATGTGAGCGCTGAAACAGTCGGAAGCATTCCTTCCCGGCCTCAGCGTTCCCAAGGGAGACAGTTTGCCTGAAGGTGTGTCGTCTTGTGTTTTTACATTTGAATTTTTATATTACGTTACCAATTAAGTAACCCCATGCGAAACTGTCTATCTGCCTTCATTCTAAAATAACAGCATGTGCTTACTAAGCCCGGCTGGAAAACGAGGGTGGTGGTGGGAACGGGCTGCTCGTCCACAGAGAGATGCTGGTTCCCCAGAGCTGCAGGCGTTCATAGATTCTCTTAGTGTAAGCGCTCTTCTTTGAAAGTAGATTTCATGCATACACAGTTGGCTCTAGCTGCTAGTACCTAGACACCTTTGTTCCAGAAAATCCCTATCTAACACTTGGAAGAGGGCATTGTGTACCAACTCGACTGGTGTGTCTCCCATAGTCTCCCAAGGAAAAGCTCAGGGTGGTGTGCCCGTTCCCTAACGGACACGTTTTCACAGACTGCTTGTTTTCATAACTGTATCCACATGTCTAAGCGTGTAGATGATTGGACCCAGCCCACAGTGCCCAGGGTCGAGCTGAGTTCGGTCACCTTTAAGCACTAATGAAGAGAAATCCAAGCTACTTAGCATCCTCGTCCAGTGAGAAGACTTGCAGCCGAGTTTGTATTATAGTGAGGATTGCTGGTGCAATCAAGTCCGTTTAGCAGAATCTCACCATATTCTGAAATAAACATTTGAAGGCTGCCTCTGAAAGTCGACATCTAAGGAATATACTCCTCTCTAGTTAGAGGTGATGAAACTAAATATATTTGGGCACTCTTCTTAAAAACAGGTTTCATTGCTTCTTTAAGGTCTGGGTATGATGCAGTGCCGTGGGATTATGTGTGTGTCTGTAGCCGTCTACACACATCCACGCTCTAAGCTTGCTCTTAAGTAGCATGTTCTTGATGACCAACACAGTCCAACTGGGTCTGGAGTACAGCAGTCGTTAGGATGGGTGGACACGGTCCAGCCCAGCCTCTCTGAGGACGTGCTGTAAATGGACTCTGTTAGTACAGGCAATCCAAAAAATAAAGGCCTAGTCCTCTTGAAAGAAACAGCAGAAAAGGAAAGAAGCAGAAGTAGAAAGTGCTGATATTTCCATTGTCCTCGCACTTGTAGCAGCTACATTAGACCACTGTGAGCTAAGTCCTCCTAGAAGATCTGTTGCAACCATTGTCTTTGTTCTTTATTTATCATGCATTCAAATGAGATGCAAGCGCATTTAACATACGATGTAAATATGGACCTTTTGAAATTAAAATGTTTATTGAAATGCTTTCAATTCAGCAACACCTTAGCTATTTGTTCTTTTGTGTTGTCTTATCAAAGTTTATGGATAGAGTTCCATAATTGTTGATGTGTTTGTGTGTATATTCGATTTTTATAAAGATGGTAGTAAGTCAATACATTGATCCTGATCTGTGTATTATTTGTTCACAAATTCCAGAAGCTTAAAGCCAGTAAATGCCAGTCTGTCTCGTAGGGTGAAAACCACCCCCAGTGATGATGTGGAGGCAGTTAGTTTTCTCTTTCTTTCTCGTTATCTTGTTTTGATTTTGTGCTGTAATATACGAGTTCCCTTAGCATCAGAACCTTGCGTTACCATTGGTTTGGCTACTTTTGTTAAATTATTATGCCAATAATCGTTTGGAGAAGAAACCCATTTTTCCGAAAGGGAGATGGAGGGCCCCCTCGGGTTCTGGGCAGGTAGCTTCTGAAGCAGGACCTGGGCTGGAGCCTTCCTTGTCTCCTTGTGGGGAGTTCCTTGGATGGAATGGGGCGGGGGGGCGGGTATTTCATCATCGTTATTTAAACCTTGGCAGTTCTTTTCATGATTTGTAAAGGTTCTAGATAAACGATTATTTAAACTTGGCTCTACAGCATTTCTGAATTGTGACAAGAGTGTGACAAAGCTTAGAACCTGCACTCAGGAGTTCTTCTTAGGAAACAGGTTGCTTTAATGTGAAAGCAAACCTTTGTTAGGTCCCAGGCTGGGTAGTAAGACAGTTAGGCAAAGGGGAGCAAGGGTAGGTAGAAGTGGAAGGTGAGAGGGAAAGAGTTAAAGCATGGAGAAATGCCAATCAAGCGTTACTGCACTTTCTCCTAGCAGATTGACTCTCAGGGTACTTGCTGTTCCAGCGAGCGAGCAGGCCACACAGGAAGGGCAGGGAGCCATCAGGCACAGTCTAGTGTCCGAGGCCTGAGCAGCTTTCGCGTTTGGGCAGCTCCGTTCTTGTCTTCTGGTGAGGGCAGGCGTGACTGAGAAGGTAGTGTAGTAAAGGCACCTAAGGGTCCGTAATTCTTCGAGTCGGCCTGGTTTCTTGGTTTGGGGGACGTCTGTTGTGGTTTTGTTTTACTTTTGATTGTTTTGTTTTGCTTTAAGTTGTTATATTTAATTGGGAAGGTAAGGTCCACATACATGCCTATAGCCCTTTGGACTGACTGAACACTTGGCGAAGATAAACTTTGATCTCGTAGCACAACTGCACAAAAGCAAGGAGCTCCGTCTGTTGTCTTGACTGTAGTGTTTCTATCATGTTTCTCTTGTATGTCGTGTTTGTTAGAACTAGCTACTTCCCCTCTCCCTTGCCCACATTCTCTCACTGAGGACAGGTGCCCAGGGGTTTTAGTGCCGGAAGGTATGGCTGCAGTTGCCCCTTTCCCAGGCATCTGCTTCTTAAATTTTCTTCCCTTCTTGCTTACTGAACTCAGTTCTGGCTTCCCGGAGTCACATCTAGACCCAGTTTTACATGCATTTATTCATTAAGGTGTAAATGTGTCCCCTGCTTACTTGTTTACTTCTCTATTTACTTAGCATGGGGAGGAGCTAGAGAAACAGGAGAGGGTGGGAGGAACGCGAAAGGGTTTTGTTTGTTTTGAAGTGGCATGCTCTAGCAGGAAGTAAAGAGAAGGAGGGGGAGTAAAAGATGTGACATGGGCGTAGGGTCCCACCATGAAGGGAACACCGGGAGTTTTGGTCAATAAGGGGAAGAGTTGAAATATAATTTACTATATTTAATGAGCATTTCAATTGACCTTTCAACTATTTTATAACTTGTGAAAGAAGTGTTATTTTGGACATTCTTGAGTCTGAACTCCAAAGGCATTAAGCCTTAATCTAATATTAAATCCTAAGGATTTTATGTAAGGTTTTTTTCAACCTGTCTGATTTTTTTATCATTTAAAATGCCTAACTTCTTAGGTACATGAGCCCATGGTTTTGTGTACAAGAACCAAAGCAGTAAAACTCACTGATTCATATTGGATCCTCAGGTATACCGTCTTCTGGTATCATGTGGTTGGGAAGGATCATTTGTTTTAGACTTCGTAACCTACCTTTTGTAGAAAGTATTTTTAAAATCTTAACTCGTTTCTGTGCCATGATTGATAGGAAATTTTAATGAAGATGGGCTGATGTAATGGGCATTTTTAGTGAGATGTTTCATGAATAGCATTTGCTTTTTCCTTTTCCTTCTAACTAAAGTGGGCAGAGGCCTTCATGGTGGTGTTTTGCTTTGTTAACTAATTTTAAACCGTGTGTAGACAAATACAGGCCCTAGAAAACAAGATATCATGTAATTTTCTTTAGTTTTGTTTTTTTGGTTTTGTTTTTTGTTTTGAGTTAATGTTACACAAAGTGGGGTGCCAATGACTGTTTTCATATGTTTTGTGTTTAAGGCGTCCATATACTCTAGAACAGTCTCAACGCTCTTTTAGCGTGCTTTTATTTGTTTTAGTTCGGGGTGAGGGGGGCAGTTTGTTTTTTTGGCCTCATTTTGAGGGCGCCTTAGCTGGGCCAGATATTGACAGAGCTGTTCTCCCTGTGTGCGCAGCAGTGCCGCCTTAGACTGTGTAACGGAGCCGCCGCGACGCGTGCGCACGCGTGTGCGTCCGCCAGGCCCTCCTGTGTGTGACTCAGCTTTGCTTTTCACAGGCGTGGATCCAGAAGTGCTGTTTCCGCACGAGGATTTTAACTCAGCCTTTAGTCCCACTTTGATTTTCAGGTACAACAAAGGCAAAAGCATGAATTCTGAGCCCCTCACTCTCTCGCTGGCCTGCCCGGCCGGCCCCCTATTCTGTCGTGCCACCATTGCCACATCAGCCACGCCTCGCCCTCCTTGTGAGAACTCTGCTCCCTTGCCCATCCTGACATCCTTCCCTTCCTGCCTCCCTCTCACCTCTCTGGCCCCTCTGTCACACTCCCCCACCCACCCCCGCCCTTCCCCCCCGTTGGCTTTTCCTTTGGGTTGTGGCGGCCGTTTTTGCTGCTTCTCTCTCAGTGCTAATATGTAGAATTCCACTCAGCCGAAATGTTTTATGTTTTGGGTTCTGTGTGTTATGTGTACTGTTTCACAAATTGATTCTATCTTAACTTTTGCTTTGACAGGTCTTCACTCACAATTTATTCCTCCAGGGCTTTGATTGGAGCGGATAACATTTTAATTCTGTTGCTTTTCAGTTTTTACCTCCAGGGGAGTGTGTGAGGACGCACTAGCAGAGACCCCCGTGTTTCTGCAGCACGCCGTGGTCGCCGTGTCATTAACTCCCACTCTGTTCTTTATTTCCTCTCCTTCCGCAGGACCTCTTTTGCATGAGTTCAGTGGTAGTGGTAGCGCGCCTTGTTGTCCCGCGTGGGACCGTTTGTTAATGACCGTGGCTGACTGTGATCCTTCCTAACCGTAATCTAGACGCGCTGTACGTGCTATATTTGGGTCCAGCTCTGATGTGGAATATGACGCTGTGTTTCTTGATATTTGTTGCTCTGAGTTTTCCAAATCAAGACCTAACTGAATGACTTCCCTCGGGCTTATTCTCCGTCTTGTTTTCTGCCCAAGCACACTCCATGGACACGTGTGGGAAACGCTAGTGCCATGTTCCATCCCGTGTTCCACTCGGCATTCACTTGATCAGGAGTATATGTGAAGAATAATAGCGACATAGTTTACAGTCTAATGTATTGTTGTGTGTATCATTTGTATAATTCCATACCAAATGCTCTGTTTTGAACTGTATTGTAATTTAAAAGGCCTGCTAATAAAATGTTGTAGTTTCCACTCTGGCTCGGTAGTTTTTATTCTGCCTCTCAGGGTCGAGCCGCTCACACCTGACTGTGTAGACTAGGAGCATTTCCTGCCCTCTTTGTGAGGACGGCTTTCAACTGGATCCCCGGAGGGAGTGGTGGTGCACAGCCTCTGACCTCCCCAAACTGTGCCCTCCTGTGTGCCCACCTCACTCAGAGCACCCCGTGCGTGCCCCTCAGAGCAGCTCAGACACAGGTAGTGCATTCACTGGCCCAAAGGCGAAAGTGGC